CAAAGCCTGTTCGTACCTGTGAAATTCACAGCTGGGATGTTTGTAAGTCAAGAACTTCTTGTCTTGGCCATTTATATGTCTCTTCTTTTGAGAGATACCAAACCAAATGTGTTGCTGCGTTTGGTTCACTGGTATTTTGTTGAAGATTTTTGCAGATATTCATTAAGGGTGTTGATCTGTAACCTCGTAATGCCTTTTGCTGGCTTTGTGTCAGGGTAACCCTGGCCTTGTAAGGAGAGTTTGGAATTATTCTCTCTTCAGTTTTTTCAACAGTTTGGGAAGGATTAATATTAGCTTTGTCTAAAAGTTTGGTAGAATTCAGCAGAAGTGTGGTCCTGTGTTTTTCTTGGATGGGAAACACTTTATCACTGATTAAGTCTCCTTAGTCATTATCAGTCTATTTGTGTTACCGGCTTCCCCAGATCTTTGCTTCAGTGAGTGATAATGAAAATTAAAGCAAAGGCCTCAGCATGAGCGTACAGGAAAGAGCTGTGGTTGGAAAGTAAGAAAAACAAAGTGGGCACAGCTCTGACAAAGAGCGGGGTTCCCTGAGGCGGGGAGAGGAGGACGCAGGCGAGGGCTCGGTCTGAGGAGCCGAGGGGTGCAGGTCTGGTGAGGTGGGTGAGACCGGCCCACTCAAGGGGGAAGGCTGGTTAGTGGGGGCTGTGCTGGGCCGGGGTGCAGCTGCCGTGGTCGCTGCCTGGTCTGTAACTCCGGAGGACCCCTCGGGGCTGCTGTGGCAGAGCGGTTCCCAGGAGAGGACTGTGCTTGTCTCAGAGGGGCAGCTCTGGCGGCTCGGGAGGTGGGCTTTTCTGGGCGGGCTTGTGACTGCTCTGCGTGGAGCCCCAAGGCGATGCAGACTGAGGACACTCCCCGACCTCTGGGCACTGCTCCAGGGGTCCGGAACTGGCTGCTGCTAACTGGACTTCCCTGCACATCCTGAAGTGACTTTAGTCACCCTTCTCTCGGTTTCCTCAGCCTTCAGGGGATGAGACAGGTGAGGTCAGTTTATGTAGGAACCTTGGACTCCCCGCCTCCTGCAAGTGTTCACCCTGCCTCGTGCAGAGCCGCGCAGGAAGGGGCTCTAAAGTTCTGAGGTTTTCATGTAAAGGAAGGAGGAGATGCCAAGCTTTATCCAGCTTTTAGGAACCCACAAGGCTCCGGCAGGCTCAGCTTCCGGGTCCCTGACTGACTCAGAAGAAAACACAAATCATGCTCTTAGTAACAAACTCGGGGCCCAGGAGTCAGTTTGTCCTCAGTGGGCGTGTGGTCTCTGTCCAGTCCTTCAGATACGCCCTTCCCGCAGCGTGCAGCCTTGGTAGGTTGTATGTTTCCAGGACTTACCCTACAATTATTCAATATGTTGGTGTCTAATTACTTGTAGAAGTCTCAGTGTTCTTGTGGTTCTGTTGTTGCTTTCATTTCTGAATTGACTTCTCTCTTCTTAGACCATTATGTTTTGTAAATTTTGTATATCAGTACAAAAATCAACTGTGAGTTTTGCTGACTGTACTGTTTTTCTAGTCTCTCTCTTTTTGGAGCATTCTCGTTTTTGTTTTATTTTTACTCTAGGTGTTTGAAAATACGCGAGTTAAGGTTTCAAATTCAAATTTATTTGGCTCTAAAAGCATATGCTTTCTTTCAGTAATCCATGAGATTGACAAACTTCCACCATTCTGGTCCCTAAAGTTGAATTGTAAATAAAACTTTAAAATTTTAAGACATTGTAAAGGTAGTTGCATTGTATTTTTTCTGGATATTTTTGATTTTTTATTTTAAAGAGAATAAAAAATAATTTAAAATTAGAAGCTATACAGAAGTTCACAAAACAAGATGATAGGAATTCAGCAATGGTTGTTATATTGTATGTTGTTCTCTTCAGATTAATTTCTAGTCTCTATTTCATTGTTTCTGCTGTAATCCATGTAGCTTCCCTCCTTCTGCTAATTTTGGACTTTGTTCTTTTTTCTAGCTTTTTAACTCTAATGTCTAAGTCTCAGTCAGGTTATTTTAAATCCTTCTTTGATGTAGACAATGCTATAAATTCTCCTCTTAGCACTGTGTCTGCTGTCTTGTATAACCATTAGTAGGCTGTGTTTCTACTTCATTTGTCTTGACATATTTTTTAATTTCCATTTTAATTTCTTCATTGACGTATTCATTGTTCAGGAGCGTGTTGTTTAATTTTCATGTATTTGTGAATTTTCCAAAATTCTTCCTGTTGTTGATTTCTAATTTTACACTACTGTGGTTGATATAATTATATAACTGATATAATTTCAATCTTCACCCATTTGCCATTTAGTTAAAAAAAAGTGCAGCTTGCTGCCAGTGTTCATGTAATTTTACATAAACACATTCTTTGAGGTGGTGGCAAATCTGATTTTCAATGTGAAAATAAAATATAAAACTATTCTTTTTTTTTGGTGCTGGAACTCAAATTCAGGACCTTGTGCTTGCCAGGATAGAGCTGAAGCTCTATCCCTGGCCCTATAAAACTATTCTTGAAATTATTTCCAAACAGAACTTTTCTTTAATCTTTATGTAACAAACATGTTAATATCACACATACAAATGCTATATTTTCTAGGCTTTGACATTTCCAGTAATTGAGAATTATTGTATTTTACCACTGCTAAAAGCAGAGTGTTATAAATATAGTGCTATCTTTTGTTCCAAAGACCATGGATGTCCTGGAACAATGTAAAAATGAAGACAAAAGTGAGCCATTTCACAGCCAACTTGAGGAGTGAGGTTAGCACTGTAATCTGCAAGTCCTCTCTGTAAACGCTACAGCTGCGAGTGCGGCCAGCAAGCATTCCTGGGGCGGGCGAAGATGGGTCAGTTTGTTAAGGCTGGTGCGGTGCCTGCCGGGGGCCCCCTCTGGAGGGTGCTCCCCGTGCGCTTGGGGGCAGCCTGCGCCCTGCTGCTGTGGGATGGCACGGTTTGTCCATGCCTTTTACATCTGTTTGGTCTAACACTGGCTTAATCCCATGTTCACCTACGAATTTTCTGACCAGATTGTCTATGCATTGTTGAAAGTAAGATATTAAAGGCCCTTATTATTACATTTCAATTCATTGCAACGTTTAGACCTTGTTTAGCTCTACTTGTGATAAAAGCTTTGTGTTTCGATTCTCTTATTTGAGATGAAACTGTGTTACATACCATCGTCACAGTCTGAATGTGTTCTGAATCCTATTCTGTTTTACTTGTACCATTGTGTTTTGTCTACATTTCTTTTTTGTTTTGTTTTGTTTTTTGTTTTTTGTTTTTTGTTTTTTGAGACAGGGTCTTGCTATGTGTTCAGGCTAGCCTTGAACTCACTACGTATCCCTGGCTGGCCTCAAATTCTCAGCAATCTTCCTGCCTCAGCCTCCCAAGTGCTGGGATTACAGGTGTGTGCCATGTGTCTGGCTGTCTACATTTCATGTTATGGATTAGTAGCCCTTCGTTTTGCTTTAAAGAACTCTCTTTAGCAATTTCTTTAAGACATGTCTAATGGTGAGGAATTCCTTCAGCTTTTTTTATCTGAGAAAGTTTTTATTTCTCCCTTTTCTGGAAAACAGCTTTTCTGGGTTAGGCAGTTTTATTCATTATTCCACCCTGCTCTGCTAAGACACCTACTGGTGGCTGTACTGTGCCCCTTTGCACATGATATGTTGTTTCCTCTCTTGTTGCTCTCAGAATTGTCTTGATTTTGAGAGTTCAGTTATCATGGGCCTTCGCGCGCTCCTCTTCGGGTCGACTGAGGCTGCCTGGCAGTAGGTACAGGCTGGAGAGGCTATTTTAAATGTCAAGAAAATTTTAATCCTATATTTCTAACACTAGTACTTTTCTAACACTGTTCAAGGATGAGATGGGGAAGCACAGGCAGTTCTCATAATCAGAGAGCTGCAGAACTTAAGGAACCTCGACACCAGGAGCCAGGGGCAAGATAAGGGAGCTTAGCCAGACAGTGGTGTGTTGCTTACTTTCAGATCCTAGAGAGTTATTGCCTCAAGGACACCCCTGCCTGGTCTCAGACAAAGATTCTCCCCCATGTTATCAGGGGGTAACCTGATTAGTTCCTGTAAGAGTAAATTCTGCCTAGCAATCAGTGACAAAGACATGTGTAGCCACCTGTAGAACGTTATGCTATCTGCCTTTTTGTACTTCCTTCCCCCAGTGGCACAGCGCCTGCCCGGCAGGTGCAAGGTCGTGAGTTCGATTCCTGGTACTGGAGAAAAACAAAAAAACAAAAACAAAAACAAAAACAAAACAATGTACTTCTGAAAACCTACATAAGTGATTGGTAACCTCAAAACGGGGCTGGTGATTGGGAACGGAGTTTCCCACCAGCCCGCTAGTGAAATGAAGCTGCTTCCAAAGTTCCTGGTGTGCTGTTGTCTTCTATTTGGCCTGGTCCTGAATTCTGTAGCAAGGGAAACTTTGTACTTTCCCTTCAAGGACTGTGAGACTGCTCTAAAAACTGAACTAAATACATAAATGGCCACAGAGGACTCCACCAGGAGTGTCCCCTGTCCACCAGCACTTCTGAGGCTGCTCTGGGACCCAGCAGGCTGTGGGGATGCAGACTGAGATTCGCCTCAGCCACACAGACAACACGCTTCCTTCCCATTTCCCCTTGGTTTGTCATGTCCACCACCCCCGCAATCTTCTTCCTAATTTGCCCAAGCCCTGACTTAGCACCCAGGGAAAGTGGTGGTAAGAGAAGGAAAAGGAGGAGAAAAGGCTCAGAAAAACATTTGTTTATCACACAACGCCTTGAGAGCAGAGTGGCTTTTCTCAGGAACCAACAAAAAGAAAGATTCTAACTGAAGTGAAAATAAAGGATGATAGAATACAAAAGCAGGAGTAACCTTTGGTGTGCTCCATTTAGTGGCTCCAGTGAAGCCATCCTGCTCACGAGGACTCTGGTGTCACCGCCTCCGCCCCGCCTCTGTCCCCACGGGGCACCACCCTGCAAGGCCTACTGCGGCACGAGTCGGAGACATTACCTGGTCTTGTTCTCAAAGTTCCGCTTCATTATGTCACAGCGCTGTTCCATCTCATCGCAGAGCTGGAAACAAGGCCGATGGCTGAACCCACGACTGCGGGCCTCGGCCGCCCAGAGCCGCTCATCCGGAGGAGCTTCTTCGTCCGCCCCTCCCCACCCCACCCCATTTGGGTTCTGAGCGCCAGGGTGACGTTACTACTGAGGGAGGGCGAGTCTTGCCTCGCTGTTCGTGATTTTAAACTTAGTCAGTTCATAATGCTGGCACATGGGAGCCATCTCTTTGGTTTTCACAGCTGGCTGGGTGCCCTGTGCCAGACTGCCAACTCTTTGGAGACTGTGAACTTTGGGTTTTTGGGTACAAGGTCCTATTAAGCAGTCTTTTGTTGGATACAGGGCTTGACCTGGAGGAGTCAAAGAGGACTAACGCTCACCTCTGAGGAACTTAGAGCCCAGAGCTAACGGCCCCCGTGGCAGCACGGTTGGGTTAGCAGACAGGACTCGCTCACCTCTGGTGAGCGCTCACTCTAACACAGCAGGTCCCTGGCCAGTGTCTCCAGAGGAACCAACTCCCAAAGCTGGCCACAGCCGGTGTCAGCTAAGACCAAGGGTCCGGGGTTGTCCTCGTCCCTCGCTGACAGCTGGGGAGGTGAGGGGCTCCCGACACCACCAAAGGCTCGGCCCCAGCACAGCAGGCCCTGGCAGCCAGCACGCTTCCGTCCCACAGGTCACACCACAGAGCGGTGCTTCCCTGTGGGGGTGTTTTGAAGACCACAGTCCAGGGTCTCTGTGGAAAGTTTCTAAACATATCTTCCGCAGGGCCCATGCTCCTCAGCCAAAATGCACGTTTTGCCCAAAGATCTGTCTACTGAGCTGAGAGATCTTATGCAAATGATGGGATTTCCTTTCAGTACACACCAACTTTGCAAGGATTTCAGTAAGCAAGATAACGCATCAGGAGTAGGGGAAGATCCAGCCTGCGTTCCAGGCTGGGTCTCTACAGGAGTCAGATATTCCTGGACCACACCAGAGGGCGAGGGGCCACCTGCTCAGTTTCAGCAACACCAGAGAGTGTTTCCCAGCGTGGCTCCAGCCCAGCCGCCAGCTGGACCTGCTTGAGGTGAGGAAGGCGGGGCCTGCTGGAATACACAATCTAAGAGAAACTGTGCAGCAGTTTCCCCTGACACTCAGAAAGCACTGCAGCGAAGGACAGCAGCGGGTTCTGAAGACCGTTGACACCTTACAGTAACAAGCAGCTTTCAAGCTGCACCGGAAGAAAACCCCACACTGGAGAAATGAGCAAGAGCCTGGCAACCGCCCGGGCGGAGGGACCGGCCACCCCCGTGTGGAGAGGACAGTGCCACTGCACACCCCACACACCAGAGATGCCCAGGTGAGAACTGCAGTCGTGAGTGAGGATGGCATCAGAAAACACCCCGCGGTCCTGTCACCTGGACGGCACTGCTCAGGGGAGAAGGACACTGGCCCTTGCCTGGAACACATGGGTCTCACCCTACCAATGAAGAGCAGTGTCACTCACCAATCTCCGGGCAGCCTGGTGGTCTCTGTTCATTTGTTCTATTATTGTGGTCAGTTCCAAGATCTGCTCTTCAAGGTCACAAATGATACTGGCCCTGCAGCGCAAGCAATTCTGTCACCCACAGAGTTTGCCATAGGACGCCAGTCAGGTCCCCGGGACGCCTGAGTGGTGTGGCGGGATCCTGGCTGTGTGCCCCACCATTACAGGGTGGGGTGACAGCACGGAAGGGTGGTCTTGGAGGATGTATTTTGCAGTAGGGTGATGAAAACTCAACCCAGCACTGGCAGGAAGCAAGCAGGGCAGTTTGGCACCCTACCAAGGAGAAGAGATAAAGGACCACGTCGGACCTGTCCTGGAGTTGACCCTGTTCCGCGGCAGTTACAGCGGGAGTGGGAGAAGCGGAGCACTGGGAACAAGAAGGTGGCACAGCACCGAGGGTGGCAGGAAGTGGGCTGCAGACGGGTGCGGAGGGCGTTTCTGAGCAGATAGTGGTTTTCTGCCTCTGGTCTGGGGCTGCCACACGGCTACAGGTGATCAACCTATCAGACTCTGCGGGAGCAGCAAGGGTGGCAGGTGTGTTACATGGTGCAGCTGCGGAGCCACCCCCACGCGAGAGGCCTGGCCAGCAGTGCTCCATGTCTGCCTGGACGCGGGAGCTAGGAGTGAGAAGGTGAGAGCACGGGGGAGGCTGCCAGGGAAAGAAGTCGGATAAGGTCTCAGAACATGGTCTACAGCACAAGCTGCACTCATAGCTTGACAGGGAACAAGCAGGCACGGGCTGTTACCTTCTACTGCATGGCAGCTGGTGACAGCTTTCCTTTTTCTTTCTTCCTTCCTTCTTTCCTTCCTTCCTTCCCTTTTTTTAAAATTTCCTTCCCTTTTTTTTGTGGTACTTGGGATTCAACCTAGGCCTTCATGCTAAGTTATGTCCCCAATATGGTTCCCCCTCTTTAATATTTTATTTCAAGATGTCTTGCTAAGTCACTAAGTTGCCCAGGCTGAGCTTGAACTTGGAATCCTCCTGCCTCATCCTCCCAGAGTGCTGGGATTACAGGTGAGCACCACTACCCTCCTTGACAACTTTGTTATGAGGCCAAGAAGCAGCTGTGTATGATGGCCTGTAGGTACACGACCCCTTCTCTTCGTGAAGAAGGTGCAGGTGAGCAGGCCGAATGTCCCCGGGGAAAGCTCCGAGGCCTGGCCCGGCCCCCAATCTACATCCCTCCCCCGGGGCGACCGCTGCTTGTGGTGTGGTTGTACCCTCGCCGGACACCCACAGATGGGCATGTGATGTGTGTGTGTGTGTGTGTGTGTGTGTGTTTCCTGTTACTGTTGGCCTTTTAGATCTGTTCTAGAAAAACACTTCTATGGTGAACTAAAGCCTGCGGCGGGAGACTGAGAACCGTTCCACAGAGCAGGTCAGGGGTGGATGTGGGAAGGAGAAGACAGGAGCATGGAATTAGGAGGCGGAGCTAAAGGCCTGTGCTCCACAGGGCGGCACGGGCCGGAGTTTTGCACCTGGATCTCCTGGGAGGAGCCTCCGTGCCTCGGGCCTTGGTATGCTCCGGCCCGCAGGACCCAGCTGCACTCAGCCCGCGCACCAAGTGCGGGCGACTTCACCACGGCCCCGCCTGGGCCTCACCGGGGAGCAGCCGCCCCTGAGTCTGCTCTGCACAAGGGCCCGCCCTGCCCCTGGACCAGCTCGCGAGCAGGCTCAGGCAAAGTGAGGTGCAGCTTTGGGAAAGGGCTCGATCAAGGCACCTCCTACGTAGGGGACCCAGGCCCAGTGTGACAGAGGGGCTGGAGGCCGCAGAGGCAGCCGGGAGGAGCTGGGCGCGTTACCAAGGGCGTTACCTGGGAATGTCGACTCTGTCTGCGCCCTCGGGGTAGTACTGCTTTTCTCCACTGAACATCTCATCGCCCAAGGTGACAGAGATTCGCTCTCGATTCCGAACCAGTTGGTAGCCAGGCGACACGTCGATCACCTCCTGGGCACCATGCAGAAGGCAAAGTGAAGCTCAGGCTGGCAGGCTGGGCTCCCTCCAGTCTTCTGCCCGGGCCTGGCTCACCTCTGAGGAAGAGCCATGGGGTGAGACGCCCCGGCCCAGCCCCTTTGTGCCCTCAGCGGTGCGAACCCCACCACCTCCGAGATCCAGCCCCCGCCCACACGCTGCCCTGCTGCCCAGCTCCTCCTCCGCGTCCTCCATGCCAGAGCCAGGAGGCAGCTGGGCGCTGCAGAGACCGCTCAGGCGTCCAACTGCCAGGCCTGAGCCTAAATCTTGGCCCTGCCACTGACCCTTAGTACTTATTCTCTCAGCGTTTCAGCTCCCTCACCAGAAAACGGAGGCAGTAACTTCTGCAAAGGGCTTTGGGGGCTGACCCCAGGGCTGCTCGCTGCGCTGCGTCCCAGCCCTTTTTGCAGCTCCTATCTGGAGACAGGGTCTTGCTGGGTCACTAAGTTTCCCCAGGCTGGGCTCAGACTTGCCATCCTTCTGCCTCAGCCTCCCAGAGTGCTAAGATTACAGGTGCGGGCCACCGTGCCTGGCTGCAGAGGGCTTTTGTGAGGAAAGAACAAAATAACTCGGGGAGCTAACTGGTCTGTTCCCATCCTTCCTCGCAAGGCTTCAACTCAGACTCCTGCAGGGCAGCCGGGCTGGGAAGCTCGTCAGCCTCACCTCCCTCCCAGCCAGGCAGGTCATGGCCACGAGCTCACAGGCATCTCATCCAGGGTTCTGCTGAGCCCTCACTGGCCTCCTTCCCCAGCCTGGCTCTCCCTTTCATGGCCCGGGTCAGACCGGCCTCGCCAGCAGTGCCAGAGGCCCTCTGGAGGGCTCTTGGAGTGCCTGGCAGCCCCTGACTCCAGCTCCCCACAGGTGGGGCTCAGCTAAAGCCCCTGTTTGGTCAGCGGGGTTCTCCTCCCAGGCCCCAGGCCGCTGGGCAGCTGTGGGGCAGGCGTCTTCCTTCTGCCCTGCCTGGCTTACTCACATGAGGTGACTTATGGCTCTCCTCCTGCCTCCCGGGATGGACGCTCTCTCTGCAAGACAAGGGTGTCTCAGGGCAGCGGGGTGCAGCAGGACAGAGGACCAGGACAAGTGACCAGGAGACAAGGAGAGGTGCAGCTGCAAAACGGCGCTTGCAGTAAAACGAGGCTCAGGACACAAACACAGTCCCAAATCCCTAAGGGCCCTAAAGGCAGGACTCCTGGGCTACTCCTTTTCCCATAAGTGGGCCTTTTCCACCTGTGAATAGGTGGAACCTGTCTTGTTTGTTTTTTTGTGGCAGGGTCTCACCACTTAGTCCAAGCTGGCCTCGAACTCACTATGTAGCCCAGGCTGGCCTTGAACTCCTGGCAGTCCTCCTGCCTCAGCCTCCCAAGTGCTGAGATCACAGGCGTGGGCCACCACGCCCTGCATGCGGAATCTTTTGACCTTTTCTTTGTGTGGGCTGAGCCCCTGTCACCTGTTTGTGGGCTGTCACCCTCCTCCTGTAGGGACAAGTGGCACTGTAGGTAGGTAAAAGCCAGGGTGAAGGGCTCACTGAGCTTTATAAAAATTAGTAAAGCAGCTTTGACCACTACAGCCAGACCTCACCAATTACAAGGGCAGATACAGCTAGACTCCGAGGAGTTAGAGAGACAAGGGCAGCTAAACCCAAGCAATTAGAAGACAAAGTCAAAGAACTCAGAAGCAGGAAGTTCCCAGGCAGCTCAACCCATTCACTTAACCCTTTAGCCTAGACACCTGCCCAAAAGACCCCCACCCGTAGTCTGACCCCAGAGGACAGGGAAAGGTCACACGGCCCAAACAAAGCCAAGCCTATGGCGAAAGACAAGCCAGGAAGGCGATCGGATTCCCAGAGCCTATGTGCGGCAGGATCTCAATAAAAAGAGCTGCAGCCCCGAGAGCCTCAGAATTCACTTCTGAATTCTCCCTGCGAGTCATCACTTTCCCCCCTTTCCCATCTTCAGAGAAACTGTCTTCTCAGAGTATTTCAAACGGCTTCTTTAGCTCGTTACCCGTGCCGGGTGTGGGATCGCCGGGAGCTGCATGTTCCAGCAGGGCAGTGGCTTGCTGTCCGCCCGTGTGGCATAGAGTGGCGTGGGGCACAGCCCTCTGGCAGGAAGAGCGCGCCTTCCATCTGCAGTCCAACTCCTCTGCCCACAGACGCACAAGCTCTTCGGATTTCCAGCCCCCCGGTCCCCATAAACACGCCCAGCCCTGGCTGTAACTGTCCCTCTCCTTTCTCTGCAGTCATGCTGCTTCTTTGAGTGTGTACTTTAAGTTCTGCCTGGTCACTCTTCTGCACGGTGGACCCAGGACTCGTCACAGGGGTAGTCAGCGGACCTGCAGACCTGTGGGTGGGGTGAGTCCAGGGTTCCCTTCTCTGCTTCGGGGCCTTCTGGGACACTGGTGACACTCTGTCCAAAGCTGGGGGGCTTCCCTCCATACCACCATCACCTGACCCCTGCTTCAGCTCGGTCACTTGACCTTCTTGGGGAGCCCCGGGCCAGCGGGAACCCGCTCAGACAGACTGAAATCTCAGTGTTGCAGGGCTTCATGCTCTAGGTGCTCTTGGGGGGATCTGGAAGCTGCCCACGCCCCTTGTGCCTCCCTCCCCTCTTCCAGGCCACAAAGGCTTCCTCTTCCCTGCCGTCATCACATCCCCTTTGCTGACTTGCTTTGCTATGGTGGACACACTGTGTCAACGTGAGAAGTGTAGAAGGTTAACTGAGGGACTCAGCAGGGTGCCAGGGTTCTTCTTGTAAACACCGTGAGCCTGTGCAAGAGGAAGACACAGAGATGGTGTGGGTGTAAAAGACTTCCCCAACCCCAGGGTGGGCAGCCTGCATACAATAAAAGGGAGGAAGAGGGGCTTGCTCACCCCTCTTTTGCTCGTGCTGCTTTTGCTGTCTTCTGCCACCTTGAACTGTTTTGGTTTGGTTTTTTTTTGGTACCGGGCATCAAACTCAGAACTTTGCACTTGCCAGGCAGGCACTTGTGCCACTGAGCTATATCCCCGGCTCACCTTGAACTGTTGTCCCTGTGCCCTGTCACCCTGCCTTGGAGCCAGCTGAGTATGGACTGAAACCAACTGTGAGCTAAATAAACCTTTCCTACCTTAATTTTGGGTATCAGGTGTTTTGTCTCAGCAATGAGAGAAGTAACTAAGGCAGAATTTGGTACCAGAGAAGTGGTGTCATTGCTGTAACCGTACCTGACCATGTAGTTCAAGAGCCTGAGTGCTAGGATTACAGGCATGCGCCATCACACCCTGCCTGGTTTGGCTATTGTAGAGGGCTTTTAGCCACACCTATTTTGAGAATCAAGAGCAAAGAGCCCAGCAGGATGATTTAAATGTGAGTTTGGCCAGAAAAGAAGCTCCAGTAAAGCTGTGGACTACAAAGATAATGTTGAGGAGATCTCCATTGCTGGGAAAGAACAGGAGAATAGAAAAGATGGCCTGAGGGCATCACAGGAAGCAGCAAGTCTCCACCCTTTGCAGCCTCAAAACTGCAAAAGTGAAAGATTTTGCTTTGAGGAGAAAGCTGCGGAGCGCTATGTTCCAATGGCTGCAGCAACATAGAAAGTCAGTTGGTCAGAATTGGATTCAGAGTGCCGAGTGATCCAGGCACTCGACCCCTGCAATGAAGACCTGCTGCGGTGCTTGCTGAAGGCAGTACTGGTTCTTAAAGATTGTTAAGCTGTGTTATAATGTTCAAGTTGCGAAATGATAAGAATAAGCATCACCCAAGGTAAACTTACCTTCTATTCTGGTGAGGGAATTAGTGCTTTTCTGTTTGTTATCACCTGTTAGGGGTAATTATAAGCATGTCTTTGTATGTGGAAACTGGTTTAAAGAAATGTGTCTGGTTGCCAAGTTGACAAGGGGTGGATTGTCATGGTTGACACACTGTGTCGACTTGAGAAGGGTAGAGGGTTAACTAAGTGACTCAGCAGGGTTCCAGGGCCCTTACTTTGTGAACATCCTCATCCTGTGCAAGAGGAGGGCACTGAGATGGTGTGGGTGTGAAGGACCCACCCTCAGGTGGAGAGCCTGCTTACAGTACAAGGGAGTACAGGAGGAAACGAGGCTTGCTCTCCCCTCTTTTACTCCAGCTGCTTTCACTGTCTCTGTCTCCGTGGACTGTTGCCCTCTGCTATGTGCCACGCTGCCTTGGAGCCAGCTGAGTATGGACTGAAACCTCCACAAAACCATGAGCTAAGTAAACCTTTCCTTCCTTAATTCTAGGTGTCAGGTATTTTGTCTCAGCAAGGAGAGAAAAGTAAACAAGATACTCCTTCGCTAAAAGAACCTTTGAGATCACACCAGGGTCCCTGGAGAACCCAGGCTGGCCTCTCCTGTCGGCAGCCCTGACGCCATCTGCAACCCTAGCTCCTCTTCAGCGAGGAGCGTGACAGCTGCAGTCCCCAGGAGGTGAGGCTGCTGTCGTCCTGGCACACTAACCGTCTGTCATGTCTGCCTGAGCTCATCTCCAGCACCGCCCCTCCGTGCTGCATTCGTGCTGCTCTTGGTGTCTGTGCCCCTGGAAGGGCGAGGTGCAGTGGGGCCTGTCCTTGTGTCCCCTCGGTCGGGAGGGCCCCAGACATCAGCAGGGCCTGGCTGCCCCCTGCTCTGGGGCTTGCCCCACCCTCTGGGCCTCACATTTTGCTGCACAGCACTTGCAAACCCGGCAGGGCCTTCTCCCTCCTGCCCCGTTAGGGTGTGAGCACCAGCAGATGCTTTCCTGGCTGAGTTCACAGCTGTCTCCTTAGCGCCTGAAATAGTGCCCGACAAGAAGCAGGTCCTCAGTAAGCAATTTCCAAATAAACAAAGACCCATGCAAAGACCTCAAGCTAAATTACACTTCTAAGCTTGTCAAATGTGAGTAAAAGTTGTCATTTGTGATGAAAACTGATTCAGTCTGTAGAAAATATTTGACATTGGAAGGTGACTGGGGGAGATGAGGGGCCACCGTGAAAGCAGGGGTTGGCAGGATTCTGGGCTGCGATGGGGCGCTCGCTTGCAAGGACTGAGAACCACAGGTTGGAGGGCCAGGAGCCTGAGCCTGGGGAGCGCTGGGCTCTAGCAACACGCAGGTGCCTAGCAGCAGATGGGTTAGGTCTGGCAGGGCTGGGACAGTCAAGGGGGACATGGTTTTACCCACAGGCCTCCACCCATTCCCGCCTCTGGACTGAAATACTTACTTAGTGGCAATAGCAGGTTTTGTTGCTGGTGGGGGTTGGAGATAATTGTGTTCTTTTGAAACTGGTAGCAGGGGAGTTAGCCTGGAAGTGAAAAATACGTAACAGAGAAGAGAACACTGGGAACTAGAAAGCAGTTTCCACACTCCCCACCAAGGACATCCCCAAGGGGACCCAAAGTTGGAGTCTATGTTGGACAGATAGGGTCTCAAAGATCCTCCAAGGCCTTGGAGACTTCAGGCCAGGGCCCTGGCACTCATCCCACAGGGAGGGGATGGTGGCCACAGCCACGTTGAACTGGAAGCTGCCCTGTGCTGGGACTCGCTCGCTGAAGCAACAAGGAACTCTGCAGGACCAGCTGGGTCAACATGCAACCCAGGCTGGCCAGGAAGGTGCAGAAAGCTGGGCGCAGCTTGCTTTGGGAGCTCTTGTGAGACAGAGAAGGCCACAAGTGAGGCCCATGGTGCGGCCTCCTACCCTCTGCAGAGCCCGGCCCGCTCCTTACTTGGACCTGCGCCAGGAGGCCTTGCGCGGTGGCTGAGGTGTCTTGATGAGCTTCCTCGGGCCCAGGCCCCAGGGGTCCCAGCAGGTGCAGTAGATGAGAGGGTTGTGGTACATGGCCAGCCCGGCACTGCCTTGGCTCTCACCGGGGCAGGAGAACAACCGCAGAGAGTTGCACTGTCCCTTAGAGTCAAGGCAAACATGTTCAGCGAGCAACGGAAGGGCCAAGGCAAGGCCTAAGGAACAGTGGCAGCTGGTGACATAGACAGCGTAAAACCTCACTCTCAACACCCAGGAACTGCACTTGGAACAGCTTAGAATTTCCATACTGAGCTCCTACTGTGAGCCACTGGGTTTCCCTGAAAATAAGACCTAACCCGAAAATGAGCCCTACCATGACTTTTCAGGGTGGCTGTAATATAAGCCCTACCCCCAAAATAAGCCGCAGTTAAGATCATCAGCCAGATGGACACATTTAATATGTCTATTGCAACATATGATGGACATTGACTTGTAAAATAATAATATTAATATAATTAAATATAAATAAATATTATTGATATTAATTCTTAAAATAAATGATAATATAAACTATAGTTGTTTGTAAATGCCCAAGTGGGGCCTTTGGAGGAGGCAGACGCCTGTGCCAGTGGTGGTGAACCTATTGCCCGCATGCCACAGCAGGCTGTTTGTATCACTGAGAGCGCTAAGAGGTTTCCCCTTACTGGCTATATAAACGGATGAACCTGAGGCTTACTGCTGAATGACCAACTGACGTCAGACACGAGGCACGAATAACATGCACAGTTGATAGCATGATGTGTCTGATATGATTCTTCATAATTGAATAAGTCATGTGTTGTAACAAATGTACTTAACACACTTGTATGAAATAAAGGAACGCTCTTGAATTTTGCTGTCTGCACGTTTTCATCGCTTTCCCGTGGACCGTCACTCTTAACTGTCCTCATTTTAAATTAACACGGGATTTAATGGAAACTCTGTGAAGCCCAGCTGGGAAGAGCGATGCGGGTGAAGAGTTCGTGGGGTAAGATCACTGAGGGCTGTCAGTGCCAATGTGCTACGAGCAGGCCACGTGGACAAGCAGTGCTCATTTAAGGAGTGCTATGGCCGGCCATGAGAGATTGATGGCTCTCGTGTAGGGAGCCGCTGAAGCCGGAAATCGGTCACATGTGTGGGGCAAGACAAGGCTACAGTGCCTCAAGTAGTCAAGCTACCTCAGTCCTGAGAAAAACATCTTGCCTGAGACAACTTCAGTCATTAGTTGCTAAGCAACCCTGTATATGTGATACCAACTTTGTAAACGCCCCTACAGTACTTGTACCATTCTTCTCTAATCAGGAACTAGGGCTCCACCTCACTTCAGCTTTTCTCTCTTGTCCATATTTTATTTTCTTTTTTGTCTTGTTGAGACAGGGTCTCACTATTTAGTTCAGGCTGGTCTTGAGCTCACCTTGCAGCCCAGTCTGGTCTTGAACTCAAAACAATCCTCCTGCCTCAGCCTCCCAGTGCTGGGATTATAGCATTACCACCACACCTGGCCTTCTTGTCATATTTTCTTCATCCACTTGCCGTTCTTCCCCAGGACCATTGAGAACTGTGCAGTTTGCCGCACTACATAATGGAGTCAAAAGAAATTCAGGCTGGAATTTGGAGTTTGGAGAGTTATGACAATATTCCAGAAAAAGATGACATGACTGTTACTTGAATAAACGTAGATTGTCATACATGAAAAAATAAGATGACCTCTGAAAATAAGTCCTATTGTGTCTTGGACCAAACATTAGTGTAAGACCTGGTCTTCTTGTGGAAATTCGGAACTAAGGGTCAGTTGCTGGTGTCTTCATGAAGCTCAGAAGCTCAGATGTTCACAGAGTGGTGAGTTGCAGCGTGGGGGACATGCGGTCTCCAAGCCCTCTCCCTTCCTCCAGGCTGCAAGAGTGCTCCCTGGAGTCCAGAGAAGTTCCCTGCCAGCTCTGCACACCACTTATGGAACATTAGCTCTGCCTGGAAGTGCAGCGCACACGAACGTCCGGCTTCCCGTTCCTGGTCAGCTGCCCAGGCTATAGGAGGAAACTGCCTGGCTCTGTAAAGGCAAACCCCTATTGTGAGGCTTGGCATGAAAGACAGCTATTGGATAAACGGGAAGGCTTGACCACACTTACGTTTGTCCTTTTCCAGAGCTCTGCTAAAATGGGAGTACAGGATTAAGAGAGTGCTAGTTCCACTGTGTCAGGCCTGACCTGAGAAAGACCTTCCCGATAAAACATGCTGCCCTCTGCAAACAACAGGAATCCACTAAAAGAACCACACTGCCCTCAGCAAACAGAGTGGAGGCCATAAAGAAATTTAGGCCCGGCCAAACAATCTTCCAGGTGCCAGGCTGTCCAGCAGTGTCTGCGTACCTGCGCTGACTGTCTTTGGAACTTTGACCCCACACAGTCTATCCAGATTCCTGGAGATTATAAACCCTGTCCCCAAACTCACTGAACTCAATCCAGACCAGTGGCTGGTATCACCGATTTCAGCCTGCCTGCACCTAAGTGGAATTTAACCCTGTCTGCAGTGTCTACACACAAGAAAATGGGAGCAAAGATGCCATGCACACGCTTGGCTCAACAAGGAGCCCTCGCGTGGCACACGGCAGCTCTGTGCTTGTGAAGGGGTGCTGCAGAGTCTGGGCGGTGTCTGGACGGAGGCTGCAGGTGTAGCAAGGAAGAAGCTTTGCTTCTCAGGCCCATCGGGAAGGGTGCCGACCACGAACCTGCGGAGCAGCAGGAAGCGAGAGGCCAAGGCAGGCCAGCTCCTCGCAACTGCCCTCCGCTTCTGGTTGTCCCTGCACACCCACACTGTGTGGTTCTTGAGGGCCAGCCTCCCGCCAGGGCTTCTCCATGCCCCTCACAGAGCCTGATGATGCTGAGGTAGATTAGGGCTGAGACCAACTGGTTAAACACCTGTAAAAGTCTGTCAGTGACGGAGACCCAGGGCACATGCACAGAACACAGAATTCTGCAGTCCCGAAGGGTGCACGGGATCAATCAGAAAAGTGCCGTTTTCGATTCTTCATTTACATCTGGCACAAAACCAAATAAGCCTTCAGTAGGACAGTTTAAATCTGATGCCAGGCCACATGAGTTCCAGCAGGGAGTCCCATCCCAAGAGTCTTATTTTCATGTGGAATGCAATCTCAGAATCCAGACCCAAGAGCCTGCAGCTGTCCTCAGGGCCACTGTGAGTCTGTTCCGCTGCTCTCACTCTGCAGAGCCTGCTTCTTTTCCACCTTCAGTAAACGCAAATCCTCGCTACCTTTTCTGAGAGTCTTGTCCAGTTCTTCGTTCAGAACACCAGGAACCTGGAAGGAATCTCTTCAGGACCCAAAGGCTGGTAGCAATGTGATTGTCCCCACCAGGTGTTTGATGAATATGTACTTGATTAGTAAACTGGGTGGTTGTAACCATAGAAGGGATGATCACAAAACATTAAAAATAAATGTAAAAGTTATCACAGTGAAAGACACCCTCCAAATACTTCCCGTTTCTTTGAAAACACTTGTCACCCTGTTGCCACCTTGTGTGGTTCTAGAAGTCCTCTTTGTGACGGTCTGTACTTGCACTGCTGTGTTCTTGACTTCGAGGAAGAGCCAGAAATCACATGGTGCCAGGCCCAGTGGATGAGGTGGATGAGGACACACTGTAATGCTTTTATCTGACAGACAGCTGTAAACATTTTGAATTGATTTAGGACATAAGGAGAGCCTGAAAAGATACTCACTAAAGTGGACTTCCAGAATCGCTTCAGGAAGAGGCAGGAACAATAGGTAAGTGTGCTTGAAGTGATGGGTGGTATTTTGCGGGGACTAGTGAGAATATATGTCTTTTATTATAATAATTTTTAAAAAGTTTTTATTTAGGCATTCACCATCTTTCTACAATCAAACCTCATAGTACCAGCTCAACAAGGAAGAAAGAGATCCTCAGGAGAAACTGCCAACACACTGTGAATGTCATTCCAACTATTATGTCTCCTACCTAGATGCACCCCAAAGCCTCATGTGCTCATCTGGGGTCTAGAGGGTGTGAATATGGATTAAGCCTGTGTGATAACTAAATTAGTCCACTGACTGGCTTAACAGAGTTCTGGGTGTGGATAATGGGAAATCCCATGTGTTGGTTTGGGGTTATTTTGCAAGGTGAGCAATAATAATATACAGGACATATATTTTATATGATTATTTATAATAGTCACCCAAAGAATCATATACAAGAGAGTGCAGGAAATCTGTCCACATACTGTAGACCAAGAATCCAGGTGAGGGCCTGGATCCTATGATAATGTCCCGCATGAGTCCAGCTGAAGACCTAGAGCTCATAACAGTGCCTCCCACGAATCCAACTGGAGGCCCAGAGCCTAACAATATCTCATGCAGGCCTGTTTCATGGATCTGCACTGGGAAGGCCCAAAGGTCAGTGGTAGAATCTAGAAAGTCTGGGCCAGCAGGATGAAGGATCTGTGCTAGCAGGCTGAGGGATCTACACTGGAGCCAGGAAGCGATGCTCAGAGTAAGAAC